CCTGGCTGGGGCAGAGCCCGGCTCCCAAGGAGCCGGGGGGGCGCTGCCCTCTAGATGCAGCCAAGACCCTCCCCTGGGAGAGTCCCATGCTGGCCCCATGGCGCCAGGCCCTGCCCCACAGAGCCCACAGCCAAGGCGAAGCGTCCCCCTCCCTCCCTTCCAGGGGCTCACAGAGTCCCAGACACCTGCAGGCCGCAGGGAGCTGTAAAACCCGGACCCTGCTTGGGCTGCTTGGAAGGTTTCCAAAGGGGAACGTTTGGCCTGTTTCCCAGCCTGGGCCCTGACCAGCAACCACACTCGGGTCCTTCCGTTCTTCGGCCACAGCCAGCAAAGCGCTACAGCCGTGTTCCCTGGAAGCTGGGTGCTTGTGCAGCCGCCCAGGAGACAGTCAAATGCCACCCAGCTGATTAGCAGAGCGCCCATAGCTAGGCTTTGTGTTTCTACTGCTGGTGCACAGCCTCAGTGCACAAAAAATTATTCCACACGTAGGTGGGAAAAAAATCCACCCCTGGGTGGAAAAGATTACAGGGAATATTGCTCTACAGAGAGATGCTGAGACACCCTGGATTATGACTCCTGCTAGCGGTGATGGGGGAATCCGTCACGCTTAGGGCTTGTTGTCTACAATCTGCAGACTCAATCTCACCCCAGATCAGCTCCCACCATCTGCAGTCCATTGACTAGGCGTAAAAAGGGGTCCGTGAAAGGTGGCTGTTTCCATTGAACGATGGTTTTCACACTGTGGTCCACGAAACCCTGGGGGTCTGCAGCCTATGGCTACCCAATGGGTAGTGATCAACGGCTCGATGTCAGGTTGGAGGTCGGTTTCTAGCGGAGTGCCCCAAGGATCGGGTTTAGGGCCGGTTTTGTTCAACATTTTTATTAATGACCTAGATGGGATGGATTGCACTCTCAGCATGGTTGTGGATGACACTAAGGTAGGGGGAGAGGTAGATACATTGGAGAGCAGAGATAGGGTCCAGAGTGACCTGGACAGGATAGAGGATTGGACCACAAGAAATCTGATGAGGTTCAACAAGGACAAGTGTAAAGTCCTGCACTTGGGATGGAAGAATCCCAAGCATTGTTACAGGCTGGGGACCAAATGGCTAAGTAGCAGCTCTGTGGAAAAGGACCTGGGGATTCCAGTGGATGAGAAGCTGGATATGAGTTAACAGTGGGCCCTTGTAGCCAAGAAGGCTAATAGCATATTCGGGTGCATTAGGAAAAGTATTGCCAGCAGACCTAGAGAAGTGATTACTCCCCTTTATTTGGCTCTGGTGAGGCAACACCTGGAGTATTGTGCCCAGTTCTGGGCCCCCACTATAGAAAGGATGTGGACGGATTGGAGAGGGGCCAGCGGAGGGCAACCAAAATGATTAGGGGGCTGGAGCACATGACCTATGAGGAGAGACTGAGGGATTTAGGTTTCTTTAGTCTGCAGAAGAGAAGAGTGAGGGGGGATTCGAGAGCAGCCTTCAACTCCCTGAAGGGAGGTTCTAAAGAAGATGGAGAGAGGCTGTTCTCAGTAGTGACCGATGGCAGAACAAGGAGCAATGGTCTCAAGTTACAGAGGGGGAGGTCTAGGTTGGATATTAGGAAAAAATATTTCACTGGGAGGGTGGTGAAGCACTGGGCTGGGTTCCCTAGGGAGGGGGTGGAATCTCCATCCCTAGAGGTGTTTAAGTCTTGACTTGACAAAGCCCTGGCTGGGTTGATTCAGTTGGGATTGGTCCTGCCTTGGGCAGGGGGCTGGACTTCATGACCTCCTGAGGTCTCTCCCAGCTCTAGGATTCTAAGATTTCCAAAGGGGTCCACACCTCCATGTAGGGGTTCACAAATGAAAGGCTGAGACCCATACGACTAGGGATGTAAGCGAGTTGACTACTCGCATTCTGCACCCCCTTGCTGCCTCTATATTAGAGGCAGCAAGGGGGGAGGGAGCAGGAGCCGGTGCTGGGGGGAGCCAGCTTAAATGATGGTTCCCTCCAGCACCGTCTATGTAGTGCCTGCTTC